ATTCTTGCTCTGCAATTTTACTACTTTCCCTTACCACAACACTAAAAAAAATCATACTAAACAGATTGGTCAAATGGACAACCAAAATCAAATTAAGCTATATTTACGGTGAAACTAATTGAACACAAATTAAAAACCCAATTTTCATTTTGCAATTTCTACTACTTTCCCTTAACACAACACTCAAAAATATAACTATAAAGTTAACTTTTTTTTTTTTTACCGGAAATTCAAGAACTTTAGCAATTTCTTGTAGCAAAGCATCAGAAAGACCCAAGAAATCTTTGCCAGGGTCTTTATGAACTGAAACATTGAGCTTAGATAGCCTCCAAATCCCTTCAAATTTGTTTTTAACATCAACTTGAGCTTCTTCTTGTTGCTGTTTCAGCTTCTTTTTCTCTGATGGGTACCTTAATTTTCCCCTTCTTTTTACCCTCTTTGAACATTTAATGCAAAAAGGGGTTGACAAAAGTGGAAAAGATTTAATTTTTGGGAATGTGAATTTGGGGTTTGAGTTCAAGAATGAAAAATTAGAAGGGAGTGAGATTTTGAAAGAAGCCATGTACATGGTTGAAGAGTTGGAGGAGATAAGATGAGTGGGTTGTGTGGGGAGAGGGGGTTTTAGAAGGGGTTTTGGTTTTACTATATACGGATTATGTAGAAGAAATTTTCCCAAAAGTGGGAGAATTATAGATAGGGAATATAAATTCATTGTATTGTAATAAATTTTTTATACCACTATAATTTAATAGCTTATTTATTATTTATTTAAAATTATCAATTAATATTTTTTTTTTTAAAAAGGCAGCCCCGTCCAAGGAGGGTCGAGAGAAGTCCCGTATCCAAGAGATATGATATAGACAGTTTACCAAGTATAAATGACTATTTTTACGACTCGAACCCGTGAAATTAGTTATAATTGTTTAAATAACCTAATTCTATACAAAAAAGATACAGTTCACTCAACGATTGCCTTTGGGTTCCGAACTCCATATGGGAATAGGAATCCGTTTTCTGAAAGATCCTGGCTTTCGTACTTGCTATATTGTGAGACGGGGGCCAAGGCTCCGACATGTCGATCTGGGAGCAGCCTTTTCTTTTCCTTTGTACTATTTGTAGTTGATAAAGAATAAGCTCTGGAAGCCTTTCGTACCTCCGCCTTTCCCTTCTAGTCGTGGTCACCATTTTGTTATCACCACGTAAGACTACTTCACCAAGTGGGTTGAAGCAATACCAATAGCCTTAAGATTGGAAAGTCGCTTTTAAGCCCAAGTGCAACCAAACTAAAGATCCGAGCCATAGAATTTCTTAATTCTAACACATTCCCAGATTCATTCAATAATCCACGAACTATCGGAAATAGGATTGACTACCGATTCCGAAGGAACTGGGTTCGCCTTCTTTCTTCCTTCCCTTCCACACGGAAGGATCACTTTTCATTTTCTCGTCTTCTCAGCTTGACACCTACTTTAGAACCATCCTTTTCTAAGTACGACAAAGCTTATAGAGGGGTGGTCTTACTACGATAAGTGAAGCCAGGGTTCCCTTTGTTCGGTGTCCGGGGAAGAGAAAGGAATTTATTCGGGAAGGTCTTTGGCACCAAAGAAAGTCGAGAAGCTTGGGACGCAAGGTGGAGCCACTTTGAGGTTCCCTCTGAAATGAGGGATGTAAGGGAGCCACTTTGAGGTTCCCACCTTGGTCTAATTCCATGCCTTATGACGAAAGGGGAGTCGGCGTGGCGTAAAGTGAAGATTGGGGGTGTGTGTAGACTATCCTTGGAAGTGTCTATTCTACCAAACCACGGGACCTCCGCCCCCTGGGAATACCTCTTCTGTGCGTCTTTCTCGTGGCGGGAACAGAACAATGGGCATCAGACTTCATGTAGTTCGAGGTCCTTTTTTGAACCAGTTCGTGACAGGTTCCCTGTTTTCTTCAAATCAAGGACATAACTCGGACGAGTGGGGAATATCATAAACTCAAAGAAGACCAGGGTCAGCCGACCTAGAAGAAAACATAAATAGGTGTTTTCCTTCCTCTGTGGAGAGAAGACAGAAAAAGGATGTTTCCCCGCTTAGGAGGTATCCGCCCCAGATAAACTACCCACCTCGCAGTGCGGTTCGAAACTAAATCCTAAACTTCGGAGTGGCAAAGGAGAGGGATATGGAAAGAATGAAGTAATGAAAGAGAAGCTTCCGACCTATCCTCGATCTCTTTCTCGATGGGGAAAATAGCTAAATGGTAAAAAGGTCTCCTCGGCCGGAGAGCCTCCAGGACAAGGAGACGGAGTCTATCTATCTGCCTAGCTTTGGTAGATTTCCTTCTTCGTTTTCGATGAAAAAAAAATATCGATCTCCGAAAGCGTTTTTCTTCCCCCGCCGCACCTCCCTCCCGATCCGCCGAATCCATTGCTGACTTCACCACGATCGATTCGGTGAAAGGGTTTTGCAAAGTTTGTTTTTTCATACAGGCAGTCATAATGCCACCCACGTCTTTTTTTCTTTTGAACAAGAATCCACTGTCTTGAATGAGTCAAATTATCAGTGAGATTCTGGTAATTTAAAAACTAAGGGCTGATTCCCCCTTCCGAAAGTGCCACAGCTCCTTCTATCATAACCCCTGAAAACTGGGCATTCGAAGCATCAATCTCATATGCATTGGGGTGATCTCATGGAGGGAAAAGCCCTTCTAGACATGGTCACCATTTTGTTATCACCGCATAAGCCCAGGCGCCGGTCTCTAGAAGCTTCTGGAATGTTCAATTTGTATGGCCTCAGTGATGAGAATATTTTTCCCTTTCCTAAGATCCTGGACGTGGTACTGATCCCCATGGGGGTGGTGAAGGGAGAGCCCTAATTGGTAGAAAAAAGCCCACAACCCCTTGGGGTTATCCTGCACTTTTTTTTTGTGCTATTTCATCATAGGATGTCGGAACTTGCTTCTTAGCGCTACGTGGGAAGAGAATTCGGGGACAAGGAACCAGCCTAGCGAACTCGATTTCCCGAAGAAAAGCCCAAAGTGCGGTACACTGAACACCAACCCAAACTCCCTACCCTCATAAAAGATTTACTTAGCTCGCTCCTTGCTCGCGGAGCAAAAAGAAAAGTTTATCGGATTTCCATCGATGACGCGAACCACGGGAGCGCCTAGCGCCCAGAGGAGCAAAGGCTCGGCCAGTGGACTTTTGTGTTCGAACCTCGAATCCGGACCTGTTCGACAAGACCAGATCCATCAACAAACCTAGGTCCAATATTTGCGTGTACGAGCTAGCCATCAACAGACGGACGCTCCGACAGGACCTGGAGCCCGAATAAATCTTCCGATGAGGAGTTTGAAGGGCCCGGAAGAGGAAGTCCTTGCCCTCCTCCCACACTCAAAACACCTCTTTTGTACCTTCGCCTTTCCCTTCTAGTCGTCTCGGTTCACTCTTCACCATAGTAGTGTCACATAAAAAGCTCTTGTGCTAAAGGCTCTCTTACCACAGGTCGCCATTCCATCCTTTTTCGAAAGGGTAGATGCTTTTCTCCTCGATTCATCGAGATTTCAAGTTGACATCTCGAACATAATCCTGTTGAAGTTAAACTTACAAAAATTTGGAGAGAAAAAAAAAAAAAAAAACATAGGGGCAAATCAAGTTTACAAAATGGAAGAAATCACTTGTTTATCTTTCACTTTTGAGCTCATCACATTATACTCTTGGGTGTATCATTTTCTGATTCACACTCTATGCTTTTATGATTACTTACTACTATCTGCATCATTTTTTGAGATGCACTTTGTCCTATGATTACTTATTTGCCCCCTAACGTATATACATTTTTAAAATTATTTTAACCATATTCTTTACAATATTATAAAATATTTTATCTGTTGTCTCTCCATAGTATCTTCAACTAGTTTTTCATCCAAAAAAGCACATCTAATTAAAATGGACTTAATGAATTTCTCATGAGGGGTAACCATTTTTTTCTTATTACAGTTTTTCTCTAGTTTTGAATATTCTCATCTTCTCTTGATAGACTTGTGTGAGTTAGCCTAATATAGAAATGGTCATTGGATCGCCCAAAGACCCTCTCAAGTCTAAAGTTTGCATATCCGCACTCGGTGTTTACTCTAAATCATTCTAATCTATCATAATTTAGTTAAAACTAAGGTGAAATGTGTATTAATTTCTATGGTTAGTTGTAAGCGTACGTGCAGATATGTGTCATATATTACTTTGGTTCAATGGCGGAGCTAAGTGGAGGGAAGGGCATCCAATTCAATCTCCTTCATCGAAAATTTATATTGTACAAATAGCACAACGATTCATTTATTATATGTAAGTTGTGGAATTCCTTTGATACAAGGGAAAAGTCTAGCAAAGTGGCAAATGAATTCATGTACTGCTTTAGATCACAAGATCAAATATCATATGTGACATTTTTTTATTCTTTTAAATCCTGTTGTTTAAATTCTGACTCTGTAACCGCTTAGGTTGATGTAAATACCAAGTGTAAATTTTTATCATTTGAATATGGCCTACTAAATACCAGAACCAAGCAAACTAGCTATCGAGAGCTTAACAACTTCAGGTATTAAGAATATTCGTCGAAATTTAATTTTGAATCATCGTAAAGTAAAAACTAACTGCTTTCTAGTTTTTTAATAAATCCAAACCCCATATTAGCTGTTTTCACATGTATATCAGCACCTATTTAATCAAGCCTTTCAAGTGACGATTTTGCCAATGTGACCAGGAAGTCAATGGTTCAAGCCGTGAGAACGGCATCTTGCAAGATTGTACGTACCCTTATAGTCCGGCCCTTCCCCGGACCCCGCGCATACCGGGAGCTTAGTGTACCGAGCTGCTCTTTTTCAAGTGACGTTTCAGGCCCCTTTGATTCAGGGTTAAGAATTAAAACATGCAGTCAGCTGCCAAAACAATACGGGGATTTGAAGTTGGCATTCCCAGCAGAATTACTAAGTTGTAACTTAGCAGTAAACGAAGTGTCATAGGATAGTGGAACAGAATTAACGCGACACTGACACGAGATGCCAAAATTTGAATACAAAACAAAAATAAAGACAGAAAATAGTTACTCGTTAGTTTCAAGTAGGTTGAATGTACACCGATCAACTTAAGACCCCCTTTTCTTTACACAAATAGCTAAACAAAGTTTCTGATGGTTGTAACAGACAACATTAAGTCAGGTCAGGTCAGGAAGATGTTTTCGGGTTTCACCTCTTTCTCTTGGTAGCTCCAGAACCCCGGCCACCTCTCTTGCCCGAGGATTCAGCGCCTCCTTTCTCCCTGCTGCTACTAGAACTTCCTCTTCCTCTTCCAGCAGACGGCTTCTTTCCACCAGCACCCTTCAGATCTACATTTACTTGGATTCCTGTTGTAAAGCAAAAGCAGATAAAAGGAAAGACGGGAAAGAGTGTTAACAGGTAGGTAGAAGACGGTCAGACGGTAAATACATGCAACGCAATTGTTCTTGAGCGTCACTAACCCTTCAAATTGAGACTCTGAAGATCTGACTCCAACTTTTTCTCAACATCTGCAGAGTTGACCGAAACAAGCAATAACATCATCAAATACTGCTCCAAATTATTCTAAAAGAATTACACCGTTCTATATTAGAGAAATGTCATCACTTTTCCCTAATGAGAAGTACTAACATTGAAATAAGAGCAAATAGAAAATGTTTACTGCAGAGGCACATAGGAAACACAAACTATAATGTGCATGATTTCTTCGCAACCGCTATTGCTACCAAATGTAGAACAACATTTCTTAACTATGGAGCTCATATCGATGGAATTATCTATCTTTAAGATTTTCCAGTCAACTGCTCTGGTAAAATTATTGAATGGCACATTATCATCCTCCCTTTTAATGGGGTAATTTGAGAAGGGGTGTACCTATATCCTCTGTCTCTGATGAGTTCTCTTCATCTTCAGCAATTGCTTCACCATTTTCTTCAGCTAAGCCTTCATCTAGTGGCTCCAGCATCGCTGCAACCCGCTTCTTGGGAGCTTTTTTAATTCCAGGAAGGGATATTAAATCTGCTGTGCGAATAACACGTGATTTGCTTCCTTTGTTGTATGCCCTTGTCAGTGCAGCTTTCACAACAGGCTGAACACCATCCAGTGGATTTGGATGTCCCTGGTGCAAATGCAGTCAAGTCAACACATGAACAGATTTTAAAAGTGCATCAGAGGAATTAGGAGAAGAGATTAAAACAATGGTATACCTTGAATTTTGATATCTCCACAATATTATCGAAGTCATCCTGGCTTATAGAGTATGAATCCATGAAATCCACAACGTTCTCGACAGCTTCATCCTGGCAATAACATTCATAGTTAACCATGCAAACAGATATACACAACGAAATTCGGGTTAAGGATGAATAATCACCTTAGGTAGCAGTTTTAATGGATCTGTCAACTTCTTTGTAAGAAGAGTAAAGTAGTCAAGTCTCAGGTTTGCCCTGAAATGTATGAGAAGATATATTACACAGCTACCACGAATGCATAAAGACTGTTTACAGGCAATGTGCAGGAAGAAGTGGTTGAAACTTTGACTGAGTTCCAAATTTTGGAAGAAAAAGTGTACACAAAACAGGAGAACCCTGCTATAGTAACACTTCAATAGTTTTTTTGTCAACTATTAATTCTTAAACAATTGATTAACACTAACCACGGAAGGGGGCACAGGCAGAAAAGGGGGAATAGGACAAGACATTGCATCGTGGAAACACCAGTCGCTTTAGAAGATTATGTACACAGTTGACTTCATCTATACTTATGCAGGTATTGAAAAAGAATTTTCACAAGTTCTGAATCTAGAACAATCGTCTGAAATCAGGACATGCGCTGTATACCAGATCTTATTATTTGTATTCTGAGAAATAACAAAGAATTAGAAACGAATCATAAGCTGGAGAAAATAAGAAAATACTGAATACATAACAATAAAAGAAACACATGCCCTAATTGAGTGGATAACTGAAGACACTCAGTCTTTGAAAATTAATGTAAGATTACAAGATACAGATCGATGAAATGAACATGTATCAGGTTAGATGAAAAATGAGAAGAAAACTAATATGTCAAACTGAACACGAAAGGAAAGTACCTTCCCAAATATGATTCACGAGAAGCGAGTAGGTGAACATGCAAGTCCTCCAAAATTCGGTAATTCTTTCCCATTGTAGAGTTCTTTCCTAGCCAGCCACCAAACCTATTAAAGTTGCGTTCTCCCTGCAAAATTTAACCCTCACTTTAATTTCAGTCGTCTCAAATAAGTCCTGATTGGATGAAAATTAAAATATATTCAAGTGAAAACTCCTGGAAAGCTAATAAATGACAGGCAAAGAATTAGAAACCATAAGATGTAAAATATACTGAGACCACATCTCTGGAAACAGCTCACAACTTTTCGACATCTAATACCAATACTGAACCACCTGTAATTATCTAATGTAGAAAACTACTAGTATAACATGATGATCTCTAGACAAACTTAGATCCAGCCATCAGATTTGAGAGAAAGGCACAACATATTGTGCTTAAAATGAAAGCAAAGCTATGCATTGCTCAGCCATCAGATCTTAGAGATGGAGAATAAGAAGCACCAGTCACCTGCTCAAGAGTCTGCCTCTGTCCATGCAACAACGAAGCACTACAATGAGGTAGGAAAAAAAACAAGAAATTATATAAGTAGCCAGCATTATAAGAAAAAAGTTTAACTTAAATGCAACTGAACTTGAGAAGCTTAGAAATTGTCTTACGGAATTATGCAAGACGAAAGGCAACCAGCTGGAGATAGTTGCCACTGCTGGTATCTACGAATCTGTACATTTATTAAATCACCATTTGCAATAGAGTCAGCAGCACGCGCGATTAGGCTCATCCGCTTTAAACCATCATCATCTTTGCCAAGAGAACTTGGCTTGTAATTGAGATAGTTCTCCTGCCATCACATGGGGAAATCATTTTACCAAATAATATGGAGGCCTACTCATAAAATATTTTAAACCATACTGATACTTTCTCAGAAGCTTTTCAATCCTACTATACCAATGTGAAATCGATACAAAGTCAATTTTTAGCCTTATGTTGTGTATGACTCGTTTAATGAGGCAATTGATATGGCATAGACGGTATAAACGACAACCAAGAACAATATCAAGTAACAGAAAGAGGAGGTACACAGACTGCTGACAAGCATGATCATGCCCCAAAAAAAAAAGGAAAAAGGAAAAGAAATAAAGTAAACCATCTGAAGCATACAGTCAGCTTTTTAGCATAGATCCTAATGCAACACTACCCAAACATCACACAGAAACAACGCCCTTCAGCACTTCTCAAGCAACTGTCTTCTCTCGAACACAATGAAGTTCTCAACATGTGGAAATATAGCAATCTAAAGAACACAAATGAGCATGTAAGACATAAATTATGGATGGAAGCAAGACCATTAAAGTAAACACATATCCCAAAGCTACCATATAAAGCAGAATTTCTAGAGGATAAGAACAACTAACCAAGAGAGCTTAAATATACTAGCTTAAAATAAGATACAAGATTACTGCATAATGGTTTTTTCGGGGCATGTCATTATAAGTTAGATCATCAGGTACCAAACTTGGAAAATTAATCCAAAAGAGAAATTAATTAGGAAATAAAACATGGAGTGTGAAAACTGAAAAGAAAAAAAGAAAACAGCAAAGCGATCAGTTCCAATTGATATTATTCTACTTGAATGAATACACTCCATTCTGCAAGGTCTCAAAGTGATATAGAGAAAAATAGACAGGGACATATAAAAGGAAAATTAACTCAGACGAGAGTAAATCTCAAGCACAAATAGTAACCTTATGGATCTAGAGTACCTGTATAAGAAGCGGGACAAGATCTAGGTCACTCATACTTAGATCAATTCTTCGATCTATTTTCAAGTTCTTGGCATTAAAATCAAACAGCCTATAAACACAGGAACAAACATAACTGGTCAGTAAAAAAATCATATTTATGTCGAGGCCTGAGCGTGAAAGTAATTATCCAATGTGATAGCAGTGAATGCTGTAGTCAGATGAAAGTACTAAAGTGAGATCCTTTCTTTTTTTAGTGAGATCATTCACTAGGCAATGCAAGCTATTTTATGGCAGAATTTGAAGTAAAAGCAATAAAAAAAAAGAGGAGTCCATATCTCAAGAATGTGTAATTTGTAACAAACTGCAATATCCAAAGCAAGTGACAAATATACAAATTCTATCAGAGAACAGTGTTCAAAGAAGCTGACTACTCAACTCTATACTCCCATAGGATAAGTTATAGGGGATCACTGCTTAGTTTCAAGCATACTGGTATGCTGAATCTTCTTAAATGCCCTCCGCATTCCCACCCTCGAAAGCAAGCAAAAGAAAATGCTTCTGCTTTCTTCTTTGTTAAACCTCACTCCTTATTTCCCATAATCCATTCTCACCCACTCTGTCAAAATGAAGATTCGCATATAAAGCTGAGTAAGGAAAATTGACATCCACCTCTTTCAACTTATTTCCCATGAGACAGAGTTATACAATATGGATCCCGTAATGAATTATGGACAACAAGTAGGAAGGTGGCTAATTAAATGATATTGCGGATTAGTTTTAGGTGCTTTTATTCCAAATATTACTAATTTTTGATTAAGCTGCTCAACAGCATATAAGGTAGTGGAATAGTCACTACCACATATTTGGACACAAAGCAACTACAAAATCCAACGTAGTTCAATCCATATGTGGGGAAAAATTAGACATCAATTTGGTAAAATGCTAAAAGAGAGGTTGAATCGAAGACATGCATACAGTTCGACAGCTTTGAAGGGTGAGATGTCTTCATCCTTTGAACTGCTTAGAAGGCGCTGTCTTATATCATCGTATTGGATCACAGACTTGGAGAGACTCATGTATTGCAATTGATTTAGAGCCATACGCATATCGCCACCAACACGTTCTGCCAATTCCTCAAGAGCAATCTATAAAAAGAAATAGAAGAAGAAAATCAATCATGAATCTCAGAAAGTTTGCAGATGGATGCCCAGACAACAACCAGTGTTATAAATAGCGCTCGCCTCAGCACTAATAGCGTGAGGCGAGGCGAGGCGAGGCGAGCAGCCTGCGCTATTTTGGTTCTGTTGCGTTGCGATTGTAAAAGGCGAGCGCCTTTGCCTGCGTAGCGAGAGGCGCTGGCGTTGCTTTTTGAAAATAAAGAAAGAAAAAGGCTTAGATATTTAAAAAAAAGACCAACGACTTAAAACATTAGGGCTTGCAGCGATTTCATGTTTCTTTCTTCTTCAACCTTCTAACAACAGAGCAGCCAAGACCACCCAGCCCAGGTAAGCTTCTCTTCTTCTTCGACTTCCTTTCTTCTTCTTCTTCTTCTTCTTCTTCTTCTTCTTCTTTCTTCTTTCTTCTTTCTCCTTTCTTTCTTTCTTTCTTCCTTTTCCTTCTTCTTCTCTTCTTCTAACTATTTTTTTTGCTCTGTTTTTTGTCGAGCAACAGTGCAGAGCAGAGAGTCTGTTGCTCTGTTTTTTGTAGTTTTTCTTCTTCTTCTGACCTTCTCTTCTTCTTTCTATTTTTTTTGCTCTGTTTTTTGTCAAGCAACAGTGTAGCAAAAAACAAAACAGAGAGTATGTTTATGCTCTGTTTTATTTTTTCGTCTTTCTTCTTCTTCTGATCTTCTCTTTATTTTTTTTGGCTCTGTTTTTGATTGAGCAGCAGTACTGCACCCTGTTTTTGCAGAGGCAAAGGCAGAGAACTTCTAACTTCAAACCTGAAATTTCCTCCTTTTTCAGTTATAGAGTAGAATTAATTGCATATTGTGAATTGATATATTTATTAATCTATTATTGTTATTGAGTTTTTAGTTATATATATAATATTTTAGTTTTTTGTATAAATTGTCGCTTCACATAAAAAAGGCGAGCGCTTCGCTGCGCGCCTATCGCCTCAGTGAAGCGGGCCCTCGTCGCTATTTGTCGCTATTTGTCGCCACACGCTATCCAAAACACTGACAACAACAAAGGACATGTTTTCCGAATGTTTTGTAGGTGCACCACCAAATTATACATGCTACCGACAAATTTAAGCAGGAAAGTACTCAAACAAATATATATTGACACAAATACACGTCACTATTTCCACAAGAAATAGAAATTGAGATGTTTTAATTGAACAACTAGGGATTTACTTGCATAAAACAACTCATATTTTTGGACATTCCTTACTTGATCAGAAAAAAATGAACTCTTACTTTCTCCACAACAAAATTCATAGGTCTTCATCTTGGTGTTTCAGATCTGGATTACTTTACTACATGCACTTCAAGAAACCAGCCATATCAAACTAAGTACAACAGTCCACAAATGTTGACAAGTGAAACCAATTTTCACATTTTATCGGGGATGATGGCTTTTGAATGCGATAGGATAGTTCCAAATATTACTAAATACATTTTCTTCAACATGTAAGAAGAACTTATGCAAGTTGTTGAAAGAGAATAAAACCTCATTGACTTGAAGGCCTTCAGCATTTGCCACTTGCTTTAACCTCTTTGCCATCTGTCAAAACATACTCTCACTATTAGCTGTAATAATTTCAACAAAAAATTTCACCTCTTATATCTACTATAAAAGATCCAGCAAGGAACACCAGAAACATTACTGGAGCTAAGGGTAGCTTGGATCTTGTCCATAACAGGACACTGTGGAAGGTACACTGACTAGCATAAGTATATTGCATATATTCATTAGTGTACTGCATAATTTGGAGAAATTCAGCACTAAAATATAAATCAAGTAAAGATAACTAAGTGCAAGAAGAATATGCCATCTAACAATTCCTTCTTTACTTATACCATCCTATTATTGCTCTTACCCAAAGAAGGAATTGTTAGATGACAAGAATAACTGTGGAAATGACCTGCTGTTTAGTCGGTTTTCGGAAGACAATTGGTAAGCAATAATTGACAAGGCTCTTCAATTTCTGACTGTAGCGATCATTACAAATGCAGATAATAGGAATTTTGGATAACTTGATGCTAGCAATAAGATCGGCAACACCACCTCTATCTCCAGCAGACATGCCATCAACCTCATCCATAATCAGAACAGTCTTCTGATGGTGCGATCTGCAATCATCAACATGGATTATGGCATATCATACTTCTGATACAAACATTCAAGAGAGTAGAGGTTTACCTGCCAATATTAGCACCTAGTGATTCATTGCTAACTAGTTCTTTTATGGAATTAGCAGTACTACCACCAATTCCTTTCTCAATTTTTGAATCAGCCTTTCCACGACTATCACTAGCATTTACCTAAACAAATAAAGGTACTGTTATATTAATCCAACATCCAACAGGAAAGAAAGAGTAAGTGAAAAATGATTAGATGACAGTTCGAGAATTTTCACCATTTAAAAGGAAAATACCTCGATAGTTTGGAAACCCAGTAGCTGACTAACCACCTTTGCTGATGTAGTCTTCCCTATACCCGGCATACCACTCAACAGAACTGCCTTTTTAGCACCAGAGTCATTCTGTTTTTTCCCCTTCCCCTTACTAGCTGCATTTAGAAAATGCTCATCCCAGCTCTCCAGCCAACGCTGAATCTGTTCTACCTGATCGTGCACCATATAGAAAGTAAAGTTACTCCAGGTGATATCTTTTAATTCAGAAGTGTAGCCATTAAAGAAGAAAGCAACATAGAAGAATACCAGTGACTTATTCCCTATTATGTCTACAATAGCTTTGGGCCTGTATTTTTCTGTCCATGGTAGTGAAGACTCTTTAGCTTGGCCTTTCCTCTTGGCAGGAGATGCACTAGGTGTCAATTCTTTGGCAGCTAAAATCTTTGTGGCAGTGCTTCCAGTTCCATCACCTAAAAAATGACATTGCCGCATTTTAGGCCATGAAGGCTCAAAGTCAAGAATGTGAAAGTATCACTTCAGTATAAGAGGCACCAGAAACACAATGCTCAATTGTCTAACGGACTTGACATTCCCCATTTTTCACGGTTTCACCAATCTAAAAAAAGAGATCAGATGCATTTTCTCCTACTGTACATGGAAGTAAGCTAACATCACTCAGATGTCTAGTCTATGTACAGGCTGCTCCCTTCCCCGTCCAGGATGCCAACCACGTTTCCGTTTCTACATACACCACTCAGCTATTTAGTGTTTCTTCTATCCGATTTTGTGTGGCACACTTTCCATGTTAATTTATCTTGAAAAATCACATCTCTGTATTTGGAAACTCATAAATCTTATCATCACCATTTTACCCTTAATAGCATGACTTGTTGGGACCCAGTTGATATAAAGTTCAAATATTTATGAGAGGAATATGAAAAGACAAATGGATCTCTCACCACCTCACTTAATTATTTGATAGTCGGGTAATTTAGGTACTTTCAGCTTACGTCTCAACAATCTTCCTTTGTTTCATAAACTTTGTGCTCGGTCAAACAGCCCCCCACAAAATAAGATGGAGGGATTATATATTAACTTTCAGCACTTATATCCCTATTACCTTCAATACAGGAGCCTAAATTGATGTATATACTTTTTTTAGAAGGAAATACTTTTAGTTCTGGTGCTTTGTAACAAACAAATTTTGTGGCAGAAATCCAGAGTTTTTAAAAGCAAAAAGCGCAAAAAAGCGACAAGGTCCACGAGCTTGAAGCGAAAAGCGAGAAGTGAAGCGCAAGCTTCTTTGAAGAGAAGAGCACAATTTACTAAAGATGAAACAATACCAAACATATACGAATTTAGTATTATAATAATCAAATTGCAATGAGAATAACTAATTTCAAGTATCCACTATACAATAAAGTTGATATTAATCCAACTACTCAAAGTTGTGATTCAAAGAATCAACCGCTTCTCATTTGGGTCATTTAGTGTGTCAAGTTTAAAGCCACACTTTTCCAAAGCGCATGGCTTCATCCAGAAAACGATAACCCCCGCTCCGCCATCACTTCTTCGGTATAAGCGACAAAGCGATGGCTTTTTTGTGCAATAGAGAGGAAGAAACATGAAATCATATTTTCATCCATTTTTATGATGGCTAAACAACTTTGGGATCTGCTTCTGGGGCTATTTTGGGCTTAAATGGGTGATGCCAAAGACTGAAAGACTTGCTATCACGTTGGGAAGGCAATGAAAGGAATGCTAGGTGCTTTGTGTGCAAAGCAAGTTCAATATACAATTTTAAGGACAGATGTTTGTGTTTACTGGCTTTATGGTGTAGGCCACAGGATGTATATGATGTGCATAAAATGATAGATTTCATTAGCTCATTAAGGAGTAACTTTATAGAGGAGGTCCTTTCTTTTGTTCTTTTGTAAAAGGGAGAGTCTACTTTTGTATACACCAGGCACCATATTAGTGCTGGCAGGCTATTATCATTAATTAACCTTGCCAACTTACTGACCAAATAGAAAACTGAATCATTAGGACGCAAAGGTGGATTTCCAAATGGAGTTAGTCCAGCGTTCTTCTAACATCGTAACCTTGCACCCCTGGGGTTTTGTTAATAACATATACCTATTGATCAACCCCAAAAAAAGATTGGTAGTCGTAGGAACATTATACCTTTTTTTTTAAATCAGTTAGTGACATTATACTTTTTGTACCTTAGTACAACTGACAGCACATCTCCGTGCCACTTTTGAAGGATTAATACTTAAAACAAGCTTTCACCTTTTCCTTGCAAGCCTTGACTTATCAATAAAAAAAAATTGCCATCTAAAAGCTTCTAGCATTGTCTTTTCTTATTGAATCAATTCTAAGAGTCTTAACTTGCACAGTCCTAATTAGAATGTAAATGATGGTTTTTATGGTCCCAGTCATTTATATGGCAATGGAAATTGCTGATACTGTTTTCTTTTTTTTGGATCAAGAAAAATATTATGCTATTATTTCTTTCTGTAAGCCATTCAGACTGTTTGGTATTCCCAAGTAATTCTTGTTTTCAAGAGTTCCGTCCACAATATACCCAACATTCTCCTACTTCTCTTCTTTTTGAAGTGCATACAGAACTTTAGAGGCACTGTTCAAAAATATCATAAACCCATTCATCTTTCATTTAAGAATGAGTACATCACCAGAAATAAACAAGTCATTGAAAATGAAAAGGGAAAGCAAATGAGTCTTAGAATTACTTGTATTTTGTGAATTTCTCTTTGCAGGAGAAACAACAGTGTCCACCGATTTCTTTGACTCGGGTTGTGTAGCTGGTTTTGATTTCTTTGATGACCGGATCATATTGAACAAACCATCCTCAGTGAGAAATGCAGTTCTAGTTGCAAAAGTATAGGATACCAATATTAGTTCAGGAACCAAATGAAAAAGGAAAATGAGAAAATGCATTGACATTGGAAACAAACCCGAGTTCCTTGGCTTTAGAGGATTTCCGTCCCTCGATGTCTTCATCGCATAAAAGATAATTCTGCAACAGAACAGCGTGAAAAACACCGTAAAACAATTAAGTTTAGCAAAAATTTATAAGCACGGACAATACCGTTTTCTTGCTAACAGATCCTGTGACACGACCACCATGGCGTTTAATCAAATCCTCAGCTTCTTCTCTTTCTAAACTGAAAGCATGAGAACCAAATGAATGTCTAGCTTTATATTTACAGATCCAATACTGAGAGAAGTTAAAAAAGGTAACATATAGACGAAAAGACTTGGCCTTCTACATAGTGCATCAGTTGCAGTGAGTCTTACATGCTTATAAGCAATAAAGATATTTATGCAAATACATCCCTGGGTTTATCCCCATAATATCTCTTCAAAAATTTACAAACAGACTCAATGAGGTACCTGTCCAGAGTTCCACTAATTACAAAAGTCAAACCAGCTAAACAGTTTGAGGCACCTTCAGGAACTTCCTGCAAAGTGGAAAGACCACAATTTTATTAACTCAGACAACTTCTTGTAAAAGAAATTAACTTCAGCAACGCTTCTACCTTTTCCCCCTTGTGAGGAGGGTCTTTTCTTTCACCAAAATTCATGAAACCGCCCCGTCCTCCACCGCCTCTGCCTCGTCCACCACTTGGTGCTGCAGATGGTCCTTTACCACCACGCCCTCGTCCACCAGATTTGGTGTCCTTATCAGCTGAGGCATCATCATCACTTTCATCAAGAGGGATGCCTTTTCCACCAGTCTGAGCTGCTCGTCCACCACGCCCTCTTCCAGTAGGTTTGAGATCAGATTTTGTATCCTTAAGATCATCGTCACTTTCATCACTGATCACAGACTTCCGTGCAGGTCCCCTTCCAGAGCCACTTGCCGACTTTTTGGTGGGAGTGGCACCTCTGGATCCCATTGCAGATGCAGGCAGTACAAAGTCATCGTCATCCTCAGCTTTGTGAATTCTTTTCGCAGCTGGTGGCTTCTCATTAACTGATGAACTTCCACCAGCATTTTGAGCTTTTCTTTTTGCTGATACTGCCTCTACTTTTTCTTCTTTTGCCTTCACCTTGTCTGTAGCAAAATATTTACTAGTTTTCCTTCTGCCGGCAGTCTCTTGTCCCTCTTGTACCTAGTGTCCATTAGATGCAATAAATAAGATTAACAAAACAAAAGAGGTTGTCGTCCGTAGGTTCTCAAAGTTCAGAAATTGCATTTGATAATCCAGTAGAAACATTCCACCATCTCAAAAACTCTACCTACTAGCTAAAAACCCCAACAATGAGAAAATAACAATAAAAAGCTAAAGATCAACAATATTCTACAGGACTTATTGATGGTGACCAACTTTTATTTTACTGCATAAGATAGAAACAAGGAGTTAAAGTTCAGAAGTTTAGAATTCTTAATATAGGTGAAAACACTAAGTTTTCATGGTAGTTCCGAATGATCTTCAGATTAGTTCATCTCCCCCTAATTTTCTATCATACTTTGTATAACCCTAATGGTTCTAGGAGCAGCTGAAAGAGCCACTACCTAGAAGGCGAGATTTGCCAAGAGTCTTGATGCTGAAGTTTTTATCAAGCACTTGACATGTAAGATTTTCCCAGAAATAAGTAATCAAGATATCCTTCTCTATCTTAAATGGTTAGGTAAGCGATGAACTAAATCACGTGCATACAAAAGGAAGAGCTCAAGAGCTGAAGCCAGCAGATACAGCCATATATGCAAATTATTTGCAGATTTTATAGTCATAACTCAAAATAGTTGGAGCCATCATTCAACAACGTGAAGAAATACATAAGGAGCAGAATTGCAGTTAATAAGAAAGGCCCCAAGTATAAGAGAGAAAGACAGAAACTCTCTAGAGTAGATTCCTTTCCACTATTTCCCCTTATCAAGTATATTTCTTTATTCGATATGTATATTGGTTATGGATGGGTAGAGTTAAAAGCTATAAAGGTAAAAAAATGTCAGCTTTCAATGATTTTCTGGAACTACTAGCGGTGTCCCAAACCCCGAATTGGTGTCAGTCTCAGTTCTGGTGACTAACTGCCCCTGAAATTTTGACAAACCCCACAGGGATTGTTACCATTCATTCTCTTTCTTTATAGCTCATGTTTGTCTTAAAGTGCTTCAGACCTTTCCTGACACTAGGATGGTAAATTACATGAACTTATTCAAGTTTTAACAAAGTTAAGAGCGGCAGCTAAAATGAAAAATTACACCTAGACTTGATATCATATTTCACTTTCCGTCTTTTCCAAGCTTTACACCTTTTTCTTCCCTTTTAAACGTGTTTAGCTATTTGCACCCAATCCACAAGAAGAAAAAAAAACATACCAAGTAAGGGGGAAAGTAAATCTATTCTGACTCATCTGTTAGATTCATAGATTTGTTGCTTTCATGTTTCAAAAAAGCCACTCTAACTAGTAATTTGTTTCTCCCTCAAATGACGCCATTCCATTTCTTTCTTTCGGTTGCTCGTTAAATAATTGAAGTAGAAGGCCATGGTCAAGGAAATCGATAGAAAAGAAATTAGTCTCAGGAAATCTCAAAAAGAAGCAACAAGCCAGCCCCACCATTCCAGGCAATCGGAACAGGTTCCAAGAAACAAGAAATAGGTAACAACATTATCAAACACTTAAACCATACGAGAGTGCAACGAGAAAGTAAGTGAAATCGGAAGAATGATCTAGATACAAAATACTTACCAGGTTTTCTGGAGAAGGCTTTTCTGCTGAAGGCTTTTCTGGAGCATTCTTGGACATGCTCCCATTACCCGTACCTTTGTCATGCTGCTTCATGAACCATTTTCTGATATCTGACTGTATTACACAGAACTATACTATCAAACCCTTAAAACCATGCATCTCAAATTCCAAATATTTGACAGGCACAAAATTCATCACATACTTCAATCTGGAAATCCCAGAAACTACAACTTAACACTTGCCATATGCTAAGTGTGTGTTCTTTTACTACTGTGTATGTGTCAACAGTACGTGCTTGGTATTGAGGACAAGTTGAATTGTCTCAAAGTACAAAAATATAATTGTGTATGGAGTTTAAGATACTAGTATTTATTATATAAGTAGTGGATGAAAATGCTGAATAGTACTTCGATAGTTAGTTAGGTGGAGAATTAATTTGATTTAATTAAGGATTTTAAACTCTGCCAGTGTGAGCTTGCTCACATTGTTGCCGGTCCCAAGCCCAGATAAAGGAAGAAGGTTGCGGCAGTCTAGCAGCCAGCACAAAACTAGCCAAATCATGATTAATCTTCATAATAAAGGGAAGATTTTTGGTGGAGAAATTTTTTGACTTTGATTTATTTAAGCATTTTAAACTCTATCGGCGGTCCCAATTCCGGATAAAGGAGGAGGGTTATGGTAGGTCTAGCGGCCAGCATAAAACTGGCCAAATCACAATGAATCCTCATAATACAATGGAACATGTACAGTGAGTATTCATATAGCAAACCTCAACTTGTTTGGGACTGAGGAGTAATTGTTTATATTCCCTCCACTTCAATTTATATAACACACTTCAAATCAAATGACACTTTTCTATATTTGAAAATAATTTAACTTTACACTTTCCATTTTACCCTTAATGAGAAGCTTTTATAGCTAACAAATGTTATGAACTCACAAAGCTTTTACTCTTTAAGCTTGTAGGACACACAAATTTCAAAAGTCTTTTTTTTTCTTCTTAAACTCGGTACCAAGTCAAACTCCGTCATATAAATTGAAACAAAGGGAGTATTTTAAAATGTGGGAAAAGTTAAAATTGGTAAAATACAGAGAAGATTAACATGGACATGCACATAATCAAGAAATGGACAGAATTCCATATAGTAAAATCTTACCCACTAAAATTATGCAAAACAATATTGTCAATTGAAACAAAAAAGTATCAATAAACTGAAACATGAGTAGTAAGTACCATTTTTGTGACTTGTAACAACACCCACAATCTTCAATAGGCAATGCCTTCTTCAATTTTCGATTTATTTCAAAATTCCACCTAAAAGAAAAATTGAACAAATGTATGAGCAATTTCGTTATACAAACCTCAAAAACGACATAACTGCATGAAGAAGATTTAAAAAAATGACACGAACATTATTCAATGCTGCGAAAAGGGAAAAGCAAGAGCATATTACCAAGCTATGAATTCGCCGGCGGGGAGTAACCGACCATTCCCGTCAACGTAGCCCCGGTGTAGGGTTTAGAGAATTTGAGACTTTGATTTTCGACAGGGGTTTTACTGGTTATTTTGAGAGAGTTTTTTGTTTTTTTTTTTGGCAGCTACTCGGCTGGGGTTACTCGGAGATGAGATTTTTACACGCCTAACATTAATTTTAGTTTATTCCATAAATAATAGTAATTGTTTTTCCAATACTAGCATATTGTAAAATTTATGCAGAGCATTAATGAGTGAACGGAAGACATAAATTATGGGATCTACTTTTAACCTTACTAGTTTTAATGTACGTGTGTTACATGTGTGTGTCGCGTCAATTAATAAATATATTATATGTAAGAAGAACAAATTATTAAAAAAATAGAAATTTATATCAAAATAAATTAAATATTTGCTTAAGGAAATAATTTGTAAAAGATGATTAAAATTTTAATTGATTTTAAATTTTACATATTAAGACTTCTGACATGGTTCAAACAATACATATTGATAAATAAAACTGATTTGAAAATCATAAATAGGTAAATATTAGGAAAATTAACACATGAAATAATTATAGGTGTGAAATAATTTAATAAAATATAATTTAAACAATCAAGAAAATATTTTTGTATGGAAATAAAAATAAAGGATCAAAATTAATCTTGCACGATAAAATTTTCCTTGTACGATATAGGCACAAAAAATTACACGAATATATAATATTTTTTGTCTTTCGTTAAAATGAAACTTACTTTTTACTTTTTATATTCTCTTATTTTTTCTTAATGTATTTTATTCTTATTTAGTTGATCTCGAACTCCTAAATATTAGGCAATAATAAAAAAAATACTTGATTTTATAGTCCTAAATATTGGAAAAGTAACTTAAATTACATATTTGTCCAATGCGAAATTTATTTTTAAAGGGTAAAAAAGACGAATGATATTGTAGATGAGTGCAACTTCTGTACTAATAAATATGTAATTGTAATCGTTCATCATCATTTATCAATTGATGAGATTTCTGCCATTGACCAATTATTTGTTTGGTTGGAGTTACGTTCTTATTATTAAAATGAATCTTTCATAACATTAACAAACTCACCATCTTTCTACCTATTTAAAGGTTCTTGATTACTAATAAATATCTCATCCATCTCAAATTATTTGTCGTATTTCTATTTGATATGCCCTTAAAAAAATTAGTTAGAAGGAATTTAATTATTTTACCCTTATTTATATCTTTAATATAATCTATCTTTATTGAACATTTACTTTATTTATGTGCCATCTCCATCTTCAAGAACAATTACTACTAAGGATAAAGTGGAAAAAATTAATTAATTTTGTCTTGAACTTCTAAAATGACAAATAATTTAAATTATCTATTTTTAGAAATTACGATAAATAATTTGAGACGGAGGAAGCAAAAATTGATTCCCTTATATTAGTCGTATATTGGCTTTTTTAACTCTAATTCCTCATCTAGCTTTACTTTTAGGATAATTAATAGTACTGGACAAAAAAAAAAATGGACGAATCAATACTTTAAATTAAAAAGTAGTATGTCTTGAACCCAAATCTAACGCTTAGTGGTGACATATTTAAACTTTGAAATTTGAATTCCTAAAATGTATTTTAACGTAAAAAAAATAGTTCTTAGATTTGATTCCTAAATATTAGGATTTTGAATTATAAAAAAAAATTCTAGTTTATTTAAATGTCCTAAATATTGAGATTTTCTACTATAATAAATAAAGTTTTAGTTGATTTCAAAATCCTAAATATTAGAAAATTAATAAAATAACTATTTTATTCAATGTGAGCTCTATTTTTAATGGGTAAAAAAGGCGAACGACATTTCGTTAAGGGCATTCGTGCTTCTAATCTAGCATTGATTGATGATTGATGAGTAACGGCTTTGACTTTTCGATTTTTTCAAAAATCACAATTAAGTAGTAGCTAATTTCTCTCATGTGGAGCCTTCAATATTATAATTGAATCTACAATAAATCTTTTCCCAAATCTTTTCAACTGAGTTTTTCTTTTCAATTATTTTCTCATCTTGACATTTATTTCTTTCTCTCTCACACAACTTGTATTATTCAAAGTATATTACTAGCAAATACCTTACCAAAAAAAAATCTAAAATTTTAATATGCCATAAATATGTGTATAGAAATTATTACAACAACATAATGTATACAAATATATATGTTATATTAGTGAAAAATATAAATGAATATTGATGATATATATTTAAATATAAATAAGAGTATAAGCAACATATGTACATATACATGATTTTCCTTAAAAAATACATGATTTATAATGTACATATATCTCAAATATACATTATATTTTTCACATAATATATATATTTTATTTCTTTCAGAATCTACGATATATAATTTCATTAGAGTTATGTTATATATATAGCCCATGTATATTTTTTTTTACTGGTAAACATTCCAATGTATGGAAAGTAGAAAATTTGTTATGGAAAGTTTTCAACATAAAAATAGAAAAATATATTACGTTATGGAATGAAATAGTTTCTAACCATTTAAATGTGTTAGGGAATGGATTGGTTTCAAGAGAAGATATATGAAAAGATATTAGAAAGTATTAGGAGTATATTTAGTAGTAGCTTAATTGTCGCTTGAAATTTATTATTATCATATCATAATTTATTGGAATCTGCTATATATAAAAATATTTTACTGCCATACTTGTTAATCATTAACCGATGCTATTCTTTTGTATTATATTTCTAATAGTCAGGCTAGTAATGAAAGTTTTAGAGTTTCTGCCAAAATAGAAGTAATTGGGCTTAGATCAGTGCAAAGGTCCAAGCCCAATAAAGACAAATTGGTATTGGATTGGGCTGTATGGCCCGGGCCTTTGGATAGAAAATAGAATGGGCTAGCAAGTTTTCAAACTGCTAATTGAAAAATAGCCAGAATTTGCAAATTCAATGAAAAATAGCCACTATCTCATGCGGAGATAAAATCTAGACAAAAATACCTTAGCTAAAACACAAAAAGTTCCAGCATAATATGTTGGATTATGGAGCTCTTGCATATAAACTTCCTACATATTATGTTGGAACTCCAATATATTATGATGGAATCTCATATGTAAAAAAAAATTGAACTCCAGCATATTATGCTGGAATTTTCTGATTTTAAGGGTATTTTTGTTCAGATTTTATTTTTGCAAAAAATATTTATTAAATTTCGATTAGTTTTGAAACTATAGCTATTTTTCAATTAGCAGTTATAAACCATGCTATATTTTATTTTTTCGCTCAATTGAAAGTAAAGAAAGAAAGAAGGACAAATTTTCTTTTTATCCCCTAAAGTTTTGTTTAAAATTTTAAAACCCCCGATTTCAATCTTATTCACATGCTTTCACTTTATTTGGTTTATTGCTAGTTAAACAAGATGGGAAAATTTAAACAGTGACATATCACTAATTATTTAGGTATAAAATGTTATCACTAGTGATTGGATATTAAATGGATTAATTCAAAATGGACCTAATCCATATTTAGGTGAGCAATTCCACCCTCAAATTAAAAGATCATTTATTTACCTTAGGCTAAAGTTAAAGCATCCTCTAAATTTGTCCATTTTTTTATTTCGACACTAGAGTTTGGATTTGTCCCTATTGAACACTTACACTACTCAAAAGTTATACTTATTTAATACACTTCAAAGCGAATAATTTTTTTAATATAAAAGAAATCCTTTCTTTTCTTCTTCATTCTTTCTCCTTAAACCCATCCACTGCAAAAGACACCAATTACATTTTTAACTCGACCGATTTTTTTTCTGGCAAAATTCTATTTTTTCCATAAGGTTATGTTGGTGAAGTTCAACAATGAAAAAACATGAGAAATTTCAACATATACTTATATCTGTAGGTAAATGACACTGAATAATAACAACAATACTGCGATAATATTATTTGTGAGCAAATACACGAATTAGCTTGAGTCGTGTTGGGTACTATCCTAAAAACTATTTTAACGATGTAAAATATTTCTCCATGATTAAACAAACTTAACTTTATTTTATTTAGGGGATACAAGAATCAACAAAATATTTGTATTACAATAATCCAACAAAATTGAAAAGAGAATAAGGACAAAGAAAATTTATAAATAAAATTGGAAATAAGAGAAGCTAGGCAAGAAAGAGAAGAAAGCTAAGTAGAAAGAGCTTTTTGTTTCTGATGATTGAGAATTGTGTAACCAATGGTGGTTATTTATAGTTTAATTGCATGGAACTTTATTTTTGCATGGCAAAAACGTGGCAGAGGATTTGCCACTTTTTACACTTCTTTTGCCACTTAACATAACCTTCTAGAATGGCTAAGATATTTGTCCAAAAGGCTTTAAAATATTGCTACAATCCCCCGCTACTTTAAAGACTTTTAAAAATAAACTTGTTGAATTTGTATGGTCCAAATGCGATAGGTTTGGTGTCTTTTGGACTATGAACCAAACTTAGACAGATAAAATTTAACTCACAGAATTACTGGTGAAACATAATATTTTTATGAACCAATAATTCATATTGTAAGTCAGAGATTTTATCAATCACATTTCGACTGTCACGATTTTGCTGTTCAACGCGGTTTTGCGCCACTAGGCCATGCGCGTGTATGGTTATTCATGAGAGCTCTACAGACTGGGCCAAAATCTCATAGGAGCGGCCTCACTCCACTCTCATATAGGTGAATTCATCAAGTGTATATTACTTTTAAATACACCATCCATAAGGAATATGAATTCATTTAAGAGTTATAACTCAAACTCTCAATTAGTAGCAGTCAAACACTCTCTTTTAGTGCTTCAATGTCAGTATCAACTTGTTATTACCCACATGAACCTACTTTATGGAATCTCCAATCACATAGGTTGGGTTACCATCTCTATTGACAACATGTTAGTCTTAACCCCATTTCTTTTGAGGTTTGAAGAATTAATTTTCTTCCCACAAGTTTAGTCAGAGGATCGGCCAAATTTATCTTTGACTTCACAAAGTCAATGAAAATTATTCTATCACTCAACAGTTGTTTTATGACATCATGTCTCAATTTCATATGTCTACTTTTACAATTATAAGGTTTA